TTTAATTCTAAAACATTATACCAATCAAATCTATTAATTAAAACAACAGTACCCTTCAACGAATGAAGAAACTCCGAGAATGAGGATACACTGTAACTTGTTTAAAGTGTCACGTGATCACTAGTAATGTATTTAACCCTTTATTTACTGGACAGTATTGAAATGTTCTCCTGGACATGAATGGTGGGTGGGGGGCTGTGATCAGCACGTATTAAAACCTCTTTTTTTCTGCCTCCTCCATAGGATTTCTTAGAGGAATTAGTATGTAGCCAGCATAGGTGTGAATGCAGGGGGTCTCCCACAATTGTGAACAGGACAAGGTGTGCTAGAATTGGGCTGTTTACCCTGATTTCCATGTCAATGTATGAATCTCCTGGAGCAAGTAGATCAAGCTGACTCTAAGCAGCCATTGTGACTGCCCTGTGAATGGGGTTTTTGTAAAATTGGACAGATAAAAATGATCAGAATTATATTGTTTGACAGAGTGATCCTGGATGATAAACTAGCTTCTCCAAAGGGGGTGAAAATGGAGAATTCCTAAAAATCTGTCCCTGGACCCAGCCTGCAGTGATTCTATTGCCTGGAGGGGTTTTACTGCAGCATCACTGAAAAAAATACCAGCCAATCTCATCAAATGGGACTCAATGTCTCTGTGATATCAATAGGTACAGACCCAGCCCTCTCTCCAGCCTGGATGCTGGGGACAATTTTCTAGAGAAAGGCTCGTTTTGATTAAATCTGACATGCTGATAACTCTGTGCTAATGGGAAATAATTAACATAATAGCCATAATTAAAAGCACGCTAACAATGCCATAAATTTATCACACACTGTTACTAGCTCTCTGCCCCTAACTGCTCTCTTATCGTTAATTAAACGTGTTGCCTTTTACTGAATGGATGTTTAGACATTTCCAGTACAAATAAATCCCCCAAAACGTGTTGTGTTTTTGTTGTTGTTTTTTGGGGGGGTGGTTTTTTGAAAGTGTGACTTTTTCAGCTTGTTTGGTGATGAATGGTCTGGTTTGAAAAAAAAACAAACAAAAAAAAAACAAAAACAAAGAATTTTTTTTTTTTTTTTTAAAAACCCTCTTCTAATCAATTCATATCAATATATAAATAAACATCAGATCTATGAATTGCCTATAAGAAAGGGGAGGGTGAAGGTTTTAGGGGAGTTAAAGGATAAAAAAACCTCAACATTTTCCTAGATTGTAATTGGACTGAACAATACATTATTCACCCTTTCCTCACTTAACCTGTTAATGTAAAAGGGATTATACACATATATAAATATCTGTACCTGTCTATCTATCTAGCTATTATATATAATGAAATAATTATGTAAATAATATAATATTAATATATCTGATCATTCACCCATCCTGCCTAACTATGCTGTATACCTGTGTGTTAATAAATATAATAAATGTAAAGGCCCATAGCAATGCACTCACAATGTTATCAGGAAAATAAGCATTATATATATATATTACAGTGAGTACATGTCTCCCTTGGAAATGCCTTCTCGTTCACCTCATACTGTTTCTTTGTAATCGTGTAATCAAGGACAAGTCTCTCATTGGGATAATGCATTAGGAAAAGTAATAAGCTTTAAAAAAAAAAAAAAAAAGAGGACATCTTCTATTGCACTTTATTCCTAAAATCCAATTAGTAGGATCAGATGATCAAATTGGGCAGAGAAAGCCAGGATGAGCTTGGACTGGTTAATATTTATATTGTTTTCTGATCAGCCACAGAAATGACACGGTAATTAGACACAATATTTTGCTATTTTTTGCATGGGCTGTCAATTGTTAAGATGTAAACGAAAAAAAAAAAAAAGATTTATTGATGACTATCAGTTGTCTAAAAGTCTTTAATTCCAATACCTGGAGGAAATAAAATATTGGAATTTCTATTGGTTTAAAAGGTAGCAATATTCAAACTGAATATTCATTTTTAAATTTGTATAGAAATAGATTTGTGATAGAAATAAAAAAATAAACACTCTCAGTGTTGATTAGAATATTGAGCGTTGTTTTATCGTAATTTGAAAAGGAGTATTTGGAATGAAAATGCTGATAACTTATTCGCAAACTACAATTAAAATTGCAATTAGTTTTAATTCGTATGAGTTTAAAAAAAAAATAAGGAAAACCATTAGTTGTTGCTTTTAAAATCAAAATCTTGCACATACATGATGCAAATATATTATATTGTTCAGACAACAGAATCAAATTATAAATAAAGTCAAAACATTTCAATAAAACGTTTTAAATGTCTTTTTTATAAAATCATTTTAATAAATAGGTAAACATCTGGTAGTGGTGGGGATTGCCTCACCCCTTCTCTCTGTAGGACGTAGGACCTGTGTGTCCCTTTGGATCAGATGGGAGCAGTCAGTGAACAGCAGATTAGCACAATACATGTCTAATAAACGTGAAACATTTCTTTTCAAGCTAAGTACCGTAATTAATAGTATGAATCAATTAATTTGACTTACACTGTGCTCACAAAAGCAGCGACAAACGAATCGCTGACTTCTGCTGTGTCTGTCCATCTCTGTAACATGATCTACACCCCCTAATTAAAGAGAGCCCCCCTAGATATTTAAAGGTGCACAGCTCAAGTTAGCCCGGGTACTAATCAGTACTGTAGCCTAGATAAAAAAAAATATATATATATAAAAGAAATACATTTAAAAAAAAAAAAAAGGATCATTTAAGAATGACAGGATTGAAAATACCGACAGCTAATTAACAAAAAATCCAATAAGGGAAGGAGGGATTTGTAAACACTAATCTATCTACACAACTTTCGAAATCACTAATTCTAGATCATCCCCAGATTAATCTTACTTTTGTACTCAATGAAATGTAACGTTTTAACACAATAAAAAAAATATATATTTTAGTCTGTGGTTTGTTTGTTTTTTACCATAAGAACGCGTTAATGTTTATTAAACAGCTATAAACAAAGTATCCAGTGCGCTCTGCGAGTTTGTTTATGTAAACATAACAAATCTTAACATTCGAATAACAAACACGAGATCACTGCTACAAAATAAATGTAACAATCACAGTAAATAAATTCATACGAAAAGCCACAATGTATCTGAAAGCTTCTGTCGGAAAAATAAATAAATAACAGCGCTTTCATCTTGTAGAGAGACCTAAAAGAGAAGAGGGTGATAACACAGAACAGCTTAGAAAACACTAACATATCGTTAATCTATTGATTCTCACCAATATTAGTGGTGTAAGTGACCCCTCCTCACAAGCAATCAGCACCTATGCTTCCTCCAGTAAGCAACCCTCACCTGCTGGCTACTTCCCACCACACACAGCAAGAGGGATTGTTTGGGCTGAATAAACCTTATCTGCTTTAAAGGGGCTCTTTGTGTCCCCATAGTACAGTCACTCACACTCCTGTGCTGGGTGCTAACAGAGAGGTTGGAACAAAACATTGATCTATGTGTCAAGTATAGATATTTTAATTATTACAGCATGCAAATGTACAAATAATGATAGATAGATAGATAGATAGATAGATAGATAGATAGATAGATAGATGGATAGATAGACAGATAAATTATAGATAGATAGAGTGATAGATAGATAGATAGATAGATAGATAGATAGATAGATAGACAGATAAATTATAGATAGATAGATAGATAGATAGATAGATAGATAGATAGCTAAATAGATAGATAGATAGATACATAGATAAATAGATAGATAGATAAATACATAGATAGATAGATAGATAGATAGAGTGATAGATAGATAGATAGATAGATAGATAGATAGATAGATAGATAGATAGATAGATAGATAGATAGATAGATAGATAGATAGATGGAATGTACACACACAGGTAAAACAAAATGGAATAAGAATATTTGTTCATTGAGCATTACTTTTGTTAATAACATTCTGGTAAAGCCCAGTAGCTAATCTTCTTTTAACACAGCCAAACAATGATTGGGTCCTGCCTCTTTTTCCGATTTCAAATGATCCTATATGTTGTTTTGAATGAAAACAAATCCCATGCAGAGAAGAAATGGAGATTTTGTAGCAAACCTGATTCTTTCCTTGCTGGGAATAGGAGAGACTCAGCCCATCCTTACATAGAAAGTAAGCTACCATTTCCTAAGCTTTCTCATGCTAACTGCAATGATTGAGTCGTTTACACCTCTTCACAATTACTTCTATTGGTTTTATTTACACTCCCCCCTATGCTTGTGCTTCTTTTTATTTTTTTTCCAGGAGCTGATCCACTAGATTTAATCAATAGGTATTTGCCTGATCTCTCCCCCAGCTGTCGCTTGTGAATGCATCCCCCCCCCAAAGACAGAGTGAGGATGTTGTTTGACATTGTGTGGTTTATTGTTGCTTGACATTGTGTGTTTAATAATATTGTAAACCCAGAAAATGTAGCTCTTTGTGTAAAATAAAAACAAAACAAAAATGGAAAAAAAATGATTCAATATTCAATTCTCTCCTCACCATGCAAGCCCCCCTCCCCTGTCTTGGATTTTAATGTTGGGAGTCTGTGTGACACTCACCATGTGTGTGATCCTGCCAAACTGAGTGCCCCTCACTCCTGTCCTCAGAACAATTATAGCAATCTGCAAACAGTAAAGAGGAATGCCCAGGTTCTAGGTGTGCTGTGGGCACTGATTTAGGTTAGAGGTGCCAGGCAGTGTCACAGTCCTAGCTGACAGTCCCCCTGTTTAGAATGAGAAGCCAGGGTTGATGTCTGCAGCTCATGATAGGTAACCACATGACTTGTTTTGTCGTCTTTCTCTCTCTTTTTTATTATTATTATTATTATTATTTTTGTTGTTGACAACCTCATGAAAGAACTTCAGCAGAGCAGCCCCTTGCCTGATGGTTTTAGCAAAAGGGTGGCAGGGGGTCTGACATCACTGGGTCACATGACACCCCTGCGAGTATATCTTTAACTGGGAAAGTAATCTATCAGCCAGTCTTTCAAAAGGGAGACTTTAAAAAAGTCACTCTGCTATCCCTATCACTTGCCAGCCACTGGGCACTCTGCTAACACCCCTCCCTCTCTCTCTTCCTCTCTCTCTCTGTCTCCCCCCCCACCAAAGAAAAAAACTGAAGGGAGGTGTCAGCAGCTGAATCAAGGAGGATACTATCTCAGCAGCAGAAGCACAAGGCAGTTTTGATGCAAAGGATTTGAAACCAGGGGTAACTTGCTGCAACTCAGAGGGTCCTGACTACCCCCTCCACCATCACCACCACTAAACAGTGCAAGTACCTGGAGCACCCTCTGCATTTCCACAAAAAAAGGGACTTTGCTGCTTTTATTTTTATTTTATTGTTTTGCCTAGTTTTGGGGGCATTTTTGAGACCTCTGCCATTCTTCCTGGTAGTCAGCCTGGCACACAGCTGTGATGACCCTGTCTGGTACCAGCTGTGCCAGTAACATGTCCGGGCAGACCGTGCTGAGCGCTGAAGACGTGGACATTGACGTGGTGGGTGAAGAAGATGAATCCCTGGAGAAGGACAGTGACTGTGAGAGCCACCACGGGCCCCTGGAGGAGGTGGAGGACCTAGTGGTGGGCAAGGAACTCTCCAGGAGCCCCTCAGAGAGTGCCAACGAGGCAGAGGGCAAAGGAGACCTCCAGGAGGGCAGTGGTGCGGGTGCCCTGCAGAGCAAACCCAAAAGCAGCCTGGTGAAGCCCCCTTACTCCTACATAGCCCTGATCACCATGGCAATTCTGCAAAGCCCCCAGAAAAAGCTGACCCTCAGTGGGATCTGTGAATTCATCAGCAACCGCTTTCCCTATTACAGAGAGAAGTTCCCAGCCTGGCAGAACTCCATCAGGCACAATCTCTCCCTAAATGACTGCTTTGTCAAGATCCCCAGGGAGCCTGGCAACCCTGGCAAGGGCAACTACTGGACCCTGGACCCACAGTCTGAAGATATGTTTGACAATGGAAGCTTCCTCAGGAGAAGAAAAAGATTTAAAAGGCATCAGCCGGACAACCTCAGGGAGCAGACTGCACTAATGATGCAGAGTTTTGGGGCTTACAGTCTGGCTAGCCCCTATGGACGTCACTATGGACTTCACCCTGCAGCCTACCACCACCATGCTGCTTTGCAGTATCCCTACATCCCCCCAGTGGGGCCAATGCTTCCCCCAACTGTACCCTTGTTGCCTTCCAGTGAACTCAGCAGGAAAGCATTCAACTCTCAGCTCAGCCCCAGCCTGCAGCTACAGCTCAACAGCCTCAGCACAGCAGCGTCTATCATCAAGTCTGAACCCAGCAGTAGACCTTCTTTTAGCATAGAAAACATAATTGGGGTCTCTGCAGCCTCTAGTGCTGCTGCACAGACTTTCCTGAGACCCCCAGTGACAGTCCAGTCTGCACTGATGAGCCATCAACCTCTCTCTATAAGTAGAAGTACAGCTGCCATCACCCCAATTTTAAGTGTCCCCACAAATCTTATATCAGGACAGTTCTTACCCACAGTAGCTAAATGGCCGGCTCAATAATGAGTGGTGGGGACACACATACTCACAGACTATGAACTTAACACTTCACAGGAACACAACTGAAAAAGGACTCTGATCTGAACTGTAGTGTAAAACTGTATAAATCTGGAAGGCTCTTTGTGCAGGTAAAAAATATATATATTCAAAAACAATATAGCAAAAAAAATGAACAAGACAATTAAATTTGTACATATTTGTATTGGAAAAGATATGAAAATCATCAGTTTTACTTTCTGGGTTTTTATTTTTTTAAGAAAAAAAAATGTAGGACAGAGCATTGAGCTTTCATTTTTTTGAAGGTTCTCGCCTTTATCGTTTAATGTACTATTACTACAAGAAAGGACGTTTGGGGAAAAAAAAAAAAAAAAAATAGTACATTTTCCAAAAACAAATAAAATGAAATTTTAAAAAATAAATAAATGAAAAAAAAAATTAAAATTGGAGGAAAATGCTGTCATTCTATGAAAATAAAAAGTCTGTTTATATATGAATGGATATATATATATGTATACTAAATGTCACTTCATTGTGCTGTACACAATTTTGTAAATAAATTTTTGAAATGCTATTTGAATTCGTATTTTTGTATTCGCAACAAATGTTTTTCAAGTAAGTGAACGGAAAGATAAATATGATTAGTAAATTGTATATATAGATATTTACACTGACATGCGTGCACATATTTATATACACGTTTTGTGTTTTCAATCTGCGCGTATATTATTATGTGCAAAGTTACATGAATATGTGTATTCGATAGAATATTCGGTTTTATAAAAAGGCGAACGATAAATTGCTTCTTCGTTCTAATAAGAGCGAAGAATTGACGGGTTCAGTCATTTTCCATATTTTATTTGCCAAAATAATATTTCAATAAATAATTTAAAGTACACATTTTCTTAGCGAATTAGGGCATTGTGTGAAATACTGTGAACACTATATAATAAACGGGTACATGTTAAGCTTAATTAAAGATGGATTTGCCTAATACTATGTTTAAATGCTCTCTATATTAAATATGATATTGAACAATACTTCAATCTTAAAAAAAATATTTTAAATAAAGCGGTAAAAATACTGAATATTTTCGTTTCTCAATAATGTCTGGAGTCTTTGAATCTTGTTTGCTTAACAGCTGACAGTTAAATTAGTTAATGACAAGCAAATATTGATTCCATTCAATACAACTAAACTATCTCTACTATATAAAAATAAGCTATGGTTTTATAATTAAACCCACTGCACAATAAATATTTTAAATTCACAAACTCTCAGCTACATTTTAACCGCTTAGCTGCAGTTATTACATTTTAGATACATAATATATCACTACGTATGCGAATAGAATTCACAATAAAAATGTAATATAAAAACCTAATATTTGTAATTAAATGCAAAATTAATAATAAATGCAATTTTCGGATCCAGTTAAAATTATGCATCTTTTTCTACTTTTGTTTTCTTGTTTGTCATTTCAAAACCCTTGCATTTGTAAATTCAGTGTTACGAAATAAGAACCGACTTACAAAACAAAAAAAATATATATTTTATTTTTAATAAATGATGTGATGACTGCAGTATAAAAAATATAAAAATAAAACAAATATTTAAATTAAAATATTACTAAAAAATAAATAACAGAGAGTAGAATGTTAAATATTAAATTGTAACGGGCTTTGAGCTTTGTTTTATATATATATATTATTATTTTTTTTATTTTTTATTTTATTTTTTACTGAATGATAAATATTATTACAATCTGTGTAAACATTTATTCTTCTAAGTAAATAGGCCACAGTAAAAAACAAGCTGAGGGGAGATGTGATAGCTTGAAGTTTATAAATAAGACTGTTATTAGGATTCTCACCTTAGTCATGAGCAGATTAGATATCAGACATCTTACATGAACTCAAGTCTAATCTCTCTTTACTTGGAAAATTAAAGAGACCGGATAGTGTTTGGGCTTTTGCAATGCGGGCAGGAGGGGAGTTTCACAGTTGTGTCTGCCTAATCGGTTTTACACAAACAGCAAATGGTGTATGATTTGTGAAACCATTAGTCTATATCTAAATTTAGCTGATACCCATGGGAAAAAGAAAGCATGCATTCACTTTTAGGTTACAGAAGCTGCTGATCTTATGATTTTAAATGACATAGGATAACAGGGTCTAATTCCATCTCTGATCCTTTGTTACCTATAAAATTACTTCTTGCATACTTCTGTGCATAGCACGAGTGCCTTAGTAAGAACAGGGCATGTTGGCAAGCTAAGACACAGCTTGTCACATAAGGAGACATTGCATAATGTGAATTTCTCTGATTTTATTTTACCCAATGTGCTGGCAATCAGAGATAAAAATAAATAAATAATTGAAAATAAGGCGTATAATAAATAAATAAAATATATAGGTAAAACTAATAAGAAAAAAAACTGAACATTGTAGAATAAGGGAGAAAAAATTAAGCATTAGATCCTGATTCTATTAAATATTTGATATAAGTTTTGTAATTTTTTTTTATTTTTTTTAATTCCTCGTGAATTTAAGGGGAGGCGTAATATTTCCATCAGGTTACAAGCTAATTGCAATTACATTGAGTGATTTAGAAATGGATTCTTAATAATCTGGGATTATAGCTGTATCGATTATTCTATCCCGGTTTGTTTAAAGCCGTGATATCACGACATAGTTTGTTTCCATTTGTTACAATGCTGTTACCGTAATATTATTCTTGTATGTGGACAAAGTTATATTTTCATTTTTAAAAGGAGAATTATAATAATTTAGGAACATCCTGTTAACATGCTATTAAATAATCACCTACAGACACATTAACAAAATAATAAATACATGTTATAATTGAATAGACCTTTTTCTTTTTTTCTTTTTTTAAACTGTTTCCATTTTTTGTAGGTATCGGGGAATATAAAAGCAGGTGCATTTCATATCTTTTTAATCTTTACCATTTAGGTGTATGGAATTTCCTGTAATTATCACAGTGGCCTCTAGGTGGCAGCCAGGATATACGAAAACTGACAGCGTCTTTTCTTTGCGCCCTATAACCTTTATTTATTCTATAATACTAATTTTTGCTTAAATTATTAGCATTAAATAACCACGACGTGATCTGACAATTTAAGCCGATCATATATTTGTATTTTGTCTGTGTGTGCATTTAATGCAACATTCTTTGCATCTGAGCTTTTTGTCTATTCTTGTAACATTAGCCTCTCCGTTCTAATTGAAATATTCTTCAGAATTACCTACAGATATTAATATTCAATAATTATCTATCTGAATGTATTGATGTGCAACGCACTATATAATATGTAGCTTGCTCCATTCTGATCTCTTTGTGAGTTATATTCAATCCATTAACCTGAGAATTGTGGAGAATTGACAAGAGGATTCTAAATTCTAAACAAAAATTAGAAACATTCTATTTTGGCCTAACATTCTTACATATCTCTATCAATTGTCCACAGCGCCCTATTCACAGAATAACTCGTCTCTAATCTATAGATAATCTAGAATTGGGATTCACACCATGTTTGTCTCATCAGGTGTGATGATGTGAGGAGAGACAGCTCTACAGTGCAGCTTATCAATTTAAAGGGGCTAATACAATTCTTTCCACCAGCCACTTCTAAGAATGGCTGGACAATATCTGTGTTAAAAAATATCTAAAGTGCCATTGCATTGCACCCTGTGCCTTTGTAATTCAGAGAGAGTAAAGTGTTAGCCTTTGTGTCTGTTGATATGGACGTTAAAAAGACTCTCAGAACTGAAGCTAACCTCTCAAGTTGTCTAAGTGCAGGAGTCATACTTTCTCCTGTTCTCTCAGCTTCAATAAACTATTGGACACACTTGGGAAAACCTGACACTGTTAGTGACAGATGCCTATTAGTATAAAACATAGCAGAAGGTCCTCTAGGGTGTATTAAAAGTAACCAGATCCTAAAACATTGGTAAAATGAACAGGCACCGGTCTCTAACAGTTGCTAGATGGCTGTCCAGAGCCAACATTTCATTCGTGATTTACCACAATTGCAAAAATATCCTTCACTGACTGAGTTTGACTCCAGCATTTGGGGTGGTGGGGGGGATGAGAGTCTAGCTACTGCATTAAACATGAAGTCACACTTCACACTCATCCAAAGGGCAGCACACAAAACAAATAAAGGATAAAAGGGCAAATTAAGAACATATATATATATATATATATATATATATATATATATATATATATATATATATAAATATAGGACAAAATAATAAAAGTAGGAAAATATAAAGAACAAGTAAAAAAAGATATGTAAAAAAAATAAAATAAAGAGCAAGTTTAAAAAAAAGGAAAAATAAAGGACACGTTAAAAATAAACAACAAGTTAAATAAAATATATAATAAAGGAAGTTTATTGGGTGATATTTAAGGCTGTGTGAGTCACACAATAGGGACAGTGACTTGCGTGATGTGTAATAAATAAATAACCAGATAAATAAAGAATGAAGATAAAGAATGACTTGTTATAATGAATATTGTAATTTCTGGCTAATTGAAGCCATTGTTTGATTTTCAGACACAGAAGAAATGAGTCATTTCCAAAAAGCAGCACAGTGACTTCTATGATTTGTAATAAATAAATAGAATTAAGATAAATTAACAAAGAATTAAATAATGGCTATTTCCATAATGGAGGCCAGGGCTTGTTTTTTTAGGCGCTCAGATTTTAAGAAGATAAATAAGGTATGAACTGAAATTTGGAAAATAATGGGAATTCTCATATATATCATTTATTTATGTTTCTATGATAAATATTTTGCGGGAAAGCTCAATATTCTGAGCCCCATGAATAAATGCATTGGTCTAAGAGGGAAATTCTAAAAAGCTAAATAAAGTATAAACTGCTTATACAATGTATTAAATTCTAGATCTGCTTTTTTATTAGGTAGGAGGTGTTTATCTCTTTTTTTAGAATGTTTTTTTTGGGCATAATATCATTTAATAATACTGATTCTAAAAGTTATTGTAATATACTAATTTCACCTACACAGCCAGTTTGGAGAGCCCCCATCCTGTGGAGTGAGTGGGCTGCTCTGTAGGTAAAACCCACGTGGAGTTTGTGCAGATCATCACATTGTGAGCATACATAGGGTGATATCAGGATAAGGATTGCCTTGATTGTAACAATGTGTAACCAGCAGTCCAGTGTTGCAGGTCATAGACTATAGGATTACCATGACATTTATAGATATGGAAATATTATACTATATTATTACTATTATTACAGTAACCAGGTCATAATATTTACTGTTCTTTGTTATCCTAAGGCATCCCTACACATAGGAACACACACACACACTATGTGCAGTATTTATTATACATCATTATATTTTTGAAATTGGTTTATTTTACTTAAATCAGTGTTTTTGTCACTTTGTGAACTCACTTTTTAGGTACACACATATAATGCACACAAATATAGACACATACATATATTGTTTCATTATAATTATTATTTAATTTTTTGAA